TGGCTTCACTGAGTTACGCAAGCCCCTTCGCCACGACAAGGCAGTGATCCATGAAGGAGAATATTGTATAAGTAGTATTGTGTAATTGACTAGAACCACTGTGTATTTAACTCAATAATTGTGTATTTAACTTTAATTGGGCTACAATAGACTCCAAACTATGGGTCGATTGTAACCCAGGTGCTCTTTATCCCCAGGGACTACCTGTATATGTGTGTATTCACAATATCTATCTATCTATCTATCTATCTATCTATCTATCTATCTATCTATCTATCTATCTATCTAATCTGGTTCTATGACCTGAAAACTTTAAAACCCCGTTTTAGATAATAGCAACCAAGTTTGCAAGACCAACAGTCAGCCTTACTCTCTACACTAGCCATGATAGCCACTTCTCCAGACTCATGGCACCCAGCCGGAAATGAACGTGCTAAACACTGGTTTTTAATGTCATCCCAGCCACCCATTTATCTGCAGCACTTACCCCTTTATCCCCTGTGCCATGTGCTTGTGGGGGAATGAAAGATTAGACAAAGATAGAGACAAAATGCCTAGAAAAGCCCCATTCTTATAGAGCCACTCTAGGACTTTTCTGATGGGAGCAGCCCAAAGTGGTCGACCATGGGGAGTTAGTTTAACACCCCCCCCAAGGGAAACAAACCCAGTTTACTCTGTTGTTGACTGGATAGGGTGTTCACATGACCTGCTCCACTCCAGATGAAGGTAAGAGCACCGTGCAGACAGGGTAGGTTATTTTATTTTGTCCAAGCTATGTCAAACCACTTGTTTAGAAAACATTCTTGGGCCAGCTGCTCCATTCAGTCTGATCCACAGGAACAAGGGAGATCCAGATTTCAAGAGTCCATGGCCAAACCAATGTCCTGACACAAATGGGACGCAGGTGACTTCACGGGCTTTGCAAAATCAGGGCTGCCCTAGAGGGGTCAAAAGAGTCAAGGCAACAGCCCCAGCTGTGCAACTGAAACCCTGCCCCTTTGCAGATCCAAAGGGGTGGGGGTTTCTCAAAGTCATGGATGCCATCTTGACTTTTTTGACCCTCCTTTGTGGATACCCATGAAAGGCATGCAAATGGCTACTGTGGGAAATTGCATTAGCTTCCTTTGGTCTGATCCCGTGAGGCACCTCAAGTTTTGTTACAATGGGCAGTGTTGGGCTTCAGGGTTTAATGACCGTGGTCTAGAGAACAGATTTTTGCAATGCTTCTCTGAATCAGTCTGAACTCATGGACTGTTGAATAGAATTAATCTATTTTCTGGATTAAACCGAACTACAGACTGAGCAGCTTCAGCCAAGGTGGGGCTGCTGGCTCACCAAAAGCCCAAGTTAACCCTAATCACGTTTTTGATCGTTCTGATTCGTTTATAAGCAAAATTAACAGACTTTAAAAAAAATATGATAATGTAATAAAAAAGAACTTGATTCTTTTTCAAAGAAAAAGAAATAAAAAAAGAAAAAATAAGATTCATATAACAAGTCCCAGTGAGGAATATTAATATATAGCAAGCTCAGCCCTTTAACATGTTAATTACTCTAGACCAGCCTTTCTCAGCCTTGGCATTTTAAGATCACACATGGCTGGCTGGGGGATTCTGGGAGTTGAAGTCCACACATCTTAAAGTTGCCAAAGTTGAGAAACGCTGTTCTAGACCAGTGTTTCTTAAAGTGTGGTCTTAGGGCCTCTAGGGCCCCCAAGCCCCTCTCAAGGGCCCATGAAATCAAAATTATTTACCAGCCTATGTTGAAAAATAATACTATATTAAAATTCTATCAAACAATGGTGAGAAGTGGCAGCAGCAGGCAAATGTAATTTTTAATACAGTAAATATTGATTAATATAACCCCTACCAACAAAAGCTCTTTTGGGCTCCTCCATAATTTTTAAAAGTGGGAAGGGATCCTGAGAGAAAAAAGTTTAAGAAACACTGCTCTAGACCATATAAAAACATAGGGCTTCATCTTTTCATTTTCCCAATACAAACATCTCAAAGCTCATCGCTTGAATCCCCTCCAGCCTCTAAAGTCCTGCTCTCTTTCTGCCCAAAGTAATTTTCTTCATCAAATGCTAAACGCCATATTTTTGGAATAGCCTGCTTTCTCTTCAGATGGAACCAGTCTTTCACCTTTAATGAGGCAAGATAGTTACCTCACTCTGCCCAGCCTACCTCGCAGGATTGTTGTTGTTGGAAGCGCCATCTATGCCCCCGAAGGAAATATGTCCCATTTGATATGAATCTAACCAAGAAATTAAAAAGATGCCCGACCTGGATTCGCGCTCAGGGCGCAGGGCGCCTTCCCTTAAACTTCCTCTAAACCACCAGGGAGCGCCGTTGCCCCGGCCAGTCGCCATTTCGCTCCGGCCGATCCGGAGTCGCTCCGAGCCGCTTTCGCGATTCCGCATCACGCTCCTGCTCCCCGAGGCTGGCCTCGATTGGCGCGCCTGACGCGGCCGAGCGAAGGAGCGGGTCCTCTCGGCGAGCGGCGCCGCATCCTCCCCTGGGTTTGGGCGGCGTTCCGGGCGCTTTCCCGCGGCGCGCTGATTCAGCCGCGGAGGAAGGAATC